AGTGTGGTGTCGACATGAGGATGAGATTGTGGGGTGATAAGAGGGTGTTGTGATACTGCAGGGAGCCGTAGTATTCACCAGTCAGCGAAAGAGTGTTGTGATACTGCGGGGAGCCATAGTATTCACCAGTCAGCGATAGGGTGTTGTGATACTGCGGGGAGCCATAGTATTCACCGGTCAGTGAGAGGGTGTTGTGATACTGCGGGGAGCTGTAGTATTCACTAGTCAGCGAGAGGGTGTGGTAATACTGCACGGAGCCGTAGTATTCACCAAGCAGCGAACGAGAAGCGTTGTGAATGTACGGGGAACCATAGTATTCACTAGTCAGGGTATGACACAGGGGAGTTCCTAAGCTTGTGTAGACTCGTCAATTGAGTATGTAGGATCATAGTGGTTGAACCAAGGGAGAGACCGATGTCTCTATATTTGTCAAAAATCATTATATTTTGAGTTGAGTCGTGGTTATCGCAACCAAAGGGAATTGGAGAATTGGTTTATGTGTGGATTGCGAATCTTGGGTCATGAGTTGAGTACTAGATTGGGATTGAGTTATTCCAATTCTGTTGTTGAATCTGACTCTAGAGCTTGAGTCTGGATTCGTTTATGTGTTTAGTAGGAAAGATGAGGTTTTAGATTTGTAGATGGGTTCATTTCGAGAAGTATTGTTCTCCATAAGATGTATTAGACTAGAGTGAGTTAGTTCGTCGGTATGGGAAGAACCATGAAACACATAGAATCAATGGTTGGTAGACGACAGAGGTCGAAGGTGAGACGATTTCATATAAGTTGTAGTATTTTCTTGGGGTAAAGTGAACTATGTGACTTGTGTGTCGTAATGAGATGATATAGCTATTGTGAACAGGAGGGTTGTAGAGTCATTTTATTAGTTGTGCAAGGGGTAGCCCTAGGAGGTTCAACCGTTGGGTCGGGAGCTGACCTGGTACTTAGACTTGGAGTGTTTTATCCAAGTCTGTTATTCGATGAGCAATTATCAGGGTGATATTCTGCATGGGCGGTCTATCGATGAGACAAACCACTATAGTTTCTAGTTCTGAAGAGTTAGAGCAGGTACATCCACGGAAAAAGGGGTCCGTCCTTCTTAGGCTTGGGAATTTCTATTTGTATTCGGATGTCTTGGGAGAAGGATCGTTGAATGTTAAGAGATTTTCCAGTTGTGCTTCTCGGGTTATTTGTTTCGATCTATACGAAGAAAAAGAACAATTTCAAGGGCGAAATCTAATTTAAGTGGGGGAGAATTGTAACATCCCGTTCCAGATTGTTTTGTGATTTAAGGCCCGTGGGCCTTAATCCGAGTATGATAAGGTTTTGAGGCTTTAAAGAAGAAAGTTTTAGGCCCTTTTAGGATATCGGTAAGGTAGGTTGTGTGATAAAAGAGTCCGGTTTGTGCTTTAGAGCCCAAATGTATTGTTAAAGGCGCTGGTGCGGGGTTTTCATGAATTTTGGATCGGAGTTCAAGTGGGCTTCAGGAGTAATAAAGTTGATAGAAGTCTAGGGCTTCTTGTTACCTTTTCGTGGATATAAGGATCAATCAAAATGGATTTATAACAAAGAAGTTATGGCCTTCATAAGTTTTGTGGTTGCAGGCTTAGCCGAGTACACTAGGCGTACACAAAGTGTACGCTGGGCGTACTAGTGAAGAAGGAAGTATGTTGGGCGTACTTTGGAGTATGATGGGCATATTGACAAGGGGTGGTCGTGAATGTTCTTCAAAGTACGTTGGGAGTACCATATGTACGTTGGGCGTACGCCAATCAAACCTGAACCCTATTTTAGGGTCTTGGACCCTATTTAGGCTCCTTATATCATAAGCTAACCCTAATATCTTCAGCCTCCATCCCTCTAAACCTTAGAAATCTACCCTAAGCCTCCATTTGAGTGATTCTTGAGCATTTTGGTGATTTAGTGATTTTTGGTGCATAGTGTGGAAGAAGGAATTCCTTGAGGAAGCGTTGCTTGGATTGGAGCTTGTGGATCCAAGCCATAATCATGTTGATCTAGCTGCAGAAAGCATAATGTTTGAATCTTGGTGGCTTTCTCATGTGGATCTAATGGGGTGATCACTTGTTATGTTTCGCTTTTGAAGAAGAAGGAGCTTTGAAAGAGAATAGCTTGAGCACCTAGCTTTTAGATCTATGTTCTTCTCTTGTTGGTGCATCTTTCAGAGGTATCAAGTTTTGAACTTGCTTATTGCTATGATAGTTTTTGTTTTGGGTCCATTTTAGGATTTTTGGTCCCAAAGCTTGAAGCTTTATGAGTTGTTGAACTCCAGAGCCTAATATATGTCCCTTTGAGTATATTTAATGGTGTTATATCATAAAAATCCAATCTTAAATGTTGGAATCAAGCTATTCATGAGATAGGAGGTTTTTGAGATAAGGAAGTGAGTGTTTTGGGTGTTCGTGGCCTTTCCACCCATGCAAAGACTTAAAGTCACTGACTTTATGGAGTAAGTGCCATTAGGGAGTCCAGATCTGGGGTTTGAGGTAATTTCTTAATTGTTTAAGACCAAATGAGTAGAAAGAATGAATATGGGGAGTATGCTGAGCGTAATTCATGTACGCCCTGCGTACTGCCCAGTGTCCCCGATGGCCAATATGGATTCGTGAGTACGCTGAGCGTACAAAGAGAGGTACGCATCACATATCCTCACTGTGGACTTTTGGGCTAAGTCTAATTTTGGGCCTTGAGTGTTGGGCCTGGAGTTTGGACTTGTTGTTATAGAGTCTTGGACCAGAGGATTATATATATGTGCTTTGGGCCCTTGAGTTGGGCTTGCCATTATATATGAGAGAGTTGGGCCACGGGAGAGCCCATTTACTATTGGCCCTTGGTGGGCCCAATGGTTTTTAGGTCATTGATGGGTTGGTTAGTGGACTACCTTTAGACCTAATGAGTGAGAGTTGGGACTTAGTTCCTAATTGGGATAATTGTGGGTTTAGCACAGAGTTAGAGGCCGGTGCGTAGCAGTAGTGTTTATAAGGGTTTTTCATCATCCAAGGTGAGTCTTCTCACTATACTTTACCTAGAGTGGTAATTATGTGTGACCATTGGGTCTTATATGCTTGCTTCAGACATGCATTTTCTGTGTGATATGTGTTGTGTGCTATATTATGTGATACTTAGACCGGACCAGAGGGTCCAATGAACTATGAGACCGGAGGGTCCTCACTTAGACCGGACCGGAGGGTCCAACGAGCTGTGAGACCGAAGGGTCTTAACCAGACGGGACTGGAGGGTCCAACGAGCCATGGGACTAGAGGGTCACAACCATACCGGACCGGAGGGTCCAAAGAGCTGTGGGACTGGAGGGTCGCACTGAGACACATAGATCGGAGGGTCTTATGGAGTTATAGCCTTGAGTGGCTTATGTGTTGTATGTGGTATATTGGGGAACTCGCTAGGCTTCATGCTTACAGTGTTATGTGATATGCGTTTCAGGTTTTCTCAGGATCGCGGGAAGGCACCAGTTTAATTGTACACACTAGAAAAGGAGTTATGTTTTGACGATCATGGAGTATTAATCAAACAATTATGGAGTTGTGTTTTGTAAATTAAATTAATGATATTTTTGTGAAATGTTTTACGAGAATTATATGATTTTAAAATGAAAAACAAAATTGTTTGAAAATTTACGATGTTACATTACGCATAATGTACTATAACACAAACAACAATACATTTTTGGGTTTGTACTGCTTCCTCATGTTGATTACTGAACGGTTGAGGCAGATTACTCAAAACTTTCTCTTCATTGATGACGAAGGTATGCAACCCGAATTCGTAATGAGATGGACATTCATCATCTAGATGAACCTCGTAGATGTACAGTGCGCTACCAACGAGGTCATAATAGAAGAAATAGTTCAAATTCTCAACCAAGATTCAATGAGTAGTAAAGCATGTTTATGTTTTATTGTGTTGTAATTTCATGTTGAGTTGATCTTGTATTTTCACGTGTCATTTTGTACTTTGATTTCTAAATTTTAATAATGTAATATTAGATATGTGTTTTCTTATTTCTTATTATTTCAATATTAAATATTAGTATTAATGAAAATGTATAAATGAGATATATTTGGTATTGAAAACTAATAAGTGTTAATTATAAATTAAATAATATATTTACGCCAAATATTATTAAAGTTAAGTATTTGTACAAAATACACATCAAAAATATAATAGGATGTAGTCGTAACATATTTGATAAAATAAGGGTCAATGTTGTTATAAATTAAATAATATATTTATGCTAAATATTATTAAAATTAAGTAATTGTACAAAATACACATAAAAAATATAATAAGATGTAGTAGTAACATATTTCATAAAATAAAGGTCAATGTTGAATATTCTAAAAGACTATTTTTTAAATTTGAAATATATATATATATATATATATATATATATATATATATATATATATATATATATATATATATATATAAAAAGATGGTAGTAACATTTTTTTTTACAAAAGGTTATAATTATAACATACTTTTATAAGACAATGGATGAATGTTGTAAGTTATAAGGCAACGTAAGTGTCAATATAATATTTACGTATTGTATATATAATATTTACGTATTGTATCGGTAGGCCAAAAACCCCATTTCTACAAAAACATTTAAAAAAGCCCCTTTCTACCAATCTTATGAAAACAATCTCCTTTTTTGCAAAAAAAAACTCGATCGTGATGTCAATAGGAAAACCGTAACAAAAAAAAGCAAAACAAGAGGTGAGTGGCAGCCAGGACTTGCTTTCAATCTCTCATTTGTGTAATAAACATGAATTTTCTCTTCATCATTATCATTGAGAATAGCCCTAGAAATTTTGTCCAATCCAGTCTTATTATATGTTATAAATGAAGTTTCAAAGTAGGTTTGTTCTAAATATCACACATGAGCATCTTGGAATAAAACCTTATAATCATATTACATCGTATAAATATTGTTAAAATATGAATATTTTGTAATAGAACACAAAAGAAACTTGTAAAAATTTGTTGGAACAGGAGTAATACAAGACGTATCAAGATTCCTGTAATATTTCATAGGTTTATAAGAAAAAAACACACTTAAAACTTAAGACGAGAAGCACCATCATTTGGCCTCCCACTCTCATACTTTCTTTATCCCGTAGATACAAACAATGTATAAAGAATTCCAAACAATGTCAATAAATAAATACTTATACACAACCTTCCAAATCGCAACAAAACAAACCTTCATAGATAAACATGGGCTCAAAATCAACAACAGCACAGGGTTATCACATTCCTTCCCTTCCTACGATCGCTTCACATCACAATACTGATACTTCACAAACGAAAAAACCTCTTCTTCTTTTTCTTCTTCTCAAGGTATGCCATAACCTCGCGTTGTTGACAAAGTGATTCCTCCAAAGACTGAAAAAGATCATAATTATGAAACATTTATAAAGAATACTTCACAAACGAAAAAACCTCTTCTTCTTTTTCTTCTTCTCAAGGTATGCCATAACCTCGCGTTGTTGACAAAGTGATTCCTCCAAAGACTGAAAAAGATCATAATTATGAAACATTTATAAAGAATACATAAATATGAGTTTATAACTCCACAAACTTGACTAGGAGGGCATTCACATCTTTTGCACAGACAATAGTTCGATAAACGTCTCTATACCAGATGGTAGACATTACACAATACACAGTATAAAACATAGTACACAGTACACACCTATTTTGATGTGTTATGTTATGTTGTCTTTTGTCCTGTCCTAACTTGTTTTGTAATATCATGTCTTAAAGTACCTTTCGGGTAGCAACAAGCTCAATTTCCAAAGCTTCAACGCGTGACAAAGCCTTATTAAGGATTTCCTCTTTCTCAGGGGGCATTTGGTTTGGTTGGTTGTTGAGGATGATAACTTTTTCCTCCAACTCTCCCACGCGCTTCATCACTGAAAAGAACTCGGCAGCTGAGACGACAGGTGGCTGCAACTTGTAAGATCCTGGCTGTTTTTTTACCATGTTATCATCATCATCATCATGGATGCCAATAGAGTAAAGTGTGGCATTTGTAAGCCTTTTGGGCATGTTGTTTGTCATACGGACCATGGTCATAACTCCCATCACCAATGTCATCATGCCACTAAAAAGGTGGTTTCCTATTCCATCAGGTGAAGAGATAGGTTTGCGAGCATCATGGATTGGATAATAAATAGAATCATCCATAACTTTGTCAACCATAGGTATGTGGTCATCTGACTTTTCTACCCTTGGTTGGTGATTCTTCACCAAGTCCTGCAAAATCAACTCAACAACAATTACACTAAGAAAAGTTTTAAAATTTGACTTTAGTAGTATGGAATTGGACTCTGATTCCGATTAAGTACTATGGAATTAGGCGAACCAAGTGCCACTTACTTTTTCTTGCGATGAAATGAGGCTTGGTTTCTTGATGTCCTCTTGCTTTTTGGTAGATTCAAGGTCTTTGTTGGAAGCAGAGCTTTTCTATTGATGAAAAGGAGATTAGTTTCTACTTACATGGAACCAAATACGAGGTGGAATGGAATTGAATTCCAATTACAACAAAAAAGTAAATGATAATACATATTGATGAAAGAAAATACCATGTTTGCAGATTGGCAATCTTCAGAAATTGTCTTCTCTTCTGGGATTTGATTCTTTGAACATTTGTGTTGACCATTATGGACCATCTACCACACCAAAATTAACACCACATTTAGCATTTATAAAAATAGATACACGATTTTTAATTAGAAAGGAAATTACATAACTAACCTTCATGATATCCGGGTCTTGCCATGGGCCCTTGTCTGATCGCATGCAACCACCTTTATCAGCACAGTTGCAAGTTCCACCCAAGAACTCTGGAAGTTGACTACTCACAAATAGGAAAAATAAATATTTACATATTATCTAAAGTTTATATCCACGAAAGATTATTTTATGAAACTATAAAACTACCTAGCATCAATCATTTCCAGAAGCTGGTTTTGGAATTTGCTTCCCAAAACCTACATGTAAATAGAGACATTGACTAGTCAACCCAACGATTTTTTCACAAAAAATGAAGTTCTCTTTTAGGTCAAAAAGTAAGAAAGAACTTACATGAATCTTAGCAGTAGTCTTTGGATCAAGGAATGATTTGACAGTGCTCCACAACATCCTAAACCCGGTCCCCGCATTGACAATGTACATTCGACATAGAGTCTATAAAAGGAAAACAAATTTATAATAAATTTGTGTAATTAAAACCTCTATTGTTTATTTTTTGTTATTAGAAACTAAGTACCTCAGGGTAGTTGTTTCCATCAATGTTCTGAAGAAATTGGATAAGCTCCCTAGCATTTTTGTTCATGTTTTTTAGTCCCTGATCCATAAACCACATAAAAAAATATACAATATTTAGCAATTTTTGCATTTTGAAGAGGTAAATTTTAGTATTACAAATAGTGGTTTCAGTATATGTTATTTATGTATAGATAACCACGATGATTATTTTTTATCTAATGGATTTAGTAAGACCAAGACTTCAAGTAGGCTATATGTAAGTATTTTTTTTCTTAATAGAGAAAGAACAACTTAACAAAACAAGTTAAGAAAATAATACTTTTCCCATTAACTCCTATATTTTTTTTTTTAAATTGACCTCATTTATGTTTCCCTTCCATGGTGTGCCATCATTTTCCCAAATAATTCTTTAAGCATTTATTATCTGGACAACATTTTACTTACCAATCCTTCCATTTTGCAAGTGTGCCTTTATTTTCTTAAATATTTTTTAAACATCATTTATCGAGATAACATTTTATCCAAACTACAACTTACCACTCCTTGTACATCAAGTATGGTGGTGCTTTGATCAATGTGCTTTTTGGCAGCGATAGAGCAAGCTGGGAATTTATCAATAAACGTCCTTTCAAACTCCTTTACATGGTACTTAACATAACGCTCGAGTGTTGTGACTTGCATGAGTTTGGTAGCATCGACTCTACCAAGTTGTTCAATATAAATAGGTCTTCCTTCCTTATCAACCCCATGGTGTCCTTGAGGATAGTATTTAAAAACATCCTCTTTTTCTTGGAAATCAAAATCCTAAACAAAAAAAAAAGATTCAAATAATTAGATTGTCGCATATAAGTTGCTTTTGCTACACGGGATACAACTACATAAAAAGGGATTGACAAGGTTCTTAGGGCTATCTTTAATAATGAAGATGACGAGGGTATTGAGGTCTTTTGCAAGACAAGAGATAAAAGTGAGTCCATATCACATGTTTTTGGGTTGCACCAAAAATTTGCAATTTTGTTTTATTGACATTTGTCCTAGCTAAATGCAATACAAGAACCTTTATTCATGTGGTTTGCTAGACAATAGATCTCAAAGTAAGTCTTTATCCGATCTTTTTGGATGCAACACAAAATTACAATTCTAGTCACATCGACATTATTGTCGGCCCCAATCCAATGAAAATCAAACGTGATACAAGACCGTCTATTCATTTTTTTACAAGATGAGACATCGTGAGTTGGTTCCGTCACATCTTTTTGGGCAAGACAATTTTTTTTTTTAATTTTTTTATAACATTGACATCAGTTCTCAGACCAATGCACAACAAACGTGATACAATACTATTTGTTCATTTTTTTTTTATTTTTTTTTTTTTATTTATTTATTTTTTCAAGATATGAGAACGACAATGAGTCCATGGTTAAACCTTTTTGAGTGAAACAAAAGATTGCAACTTTTGTTAGGGTCCCATTCCAATGTATAAAAAACAGGGTTATAGAGCCGTTTTGAGATAACATAAGTACCTCCATGATTGTGTCTGTACCATAATCCTTCCTCCATTTGATCATATCAGCCCACATTTGTTTAGTCTTTTCAATATCAAATTTCCTTGCCTTCAAAAATCTGTTTCATCAATCACCATGTCAAAATATCACCCATTGTTAACTACAATAGTAGATGAAAATTATAAACCGTATACCAAGAACAAACTCAAAAGGGATTATTCTTATAACCTTAACATCATGTGGTAATCATCATGTTTTGTGGGTAATAATTCTTCCAAGATCAAAGCTTGACGAAAAGCATCAACTATTTTCAATTCTTCCGCATCATGTACATGCTCAACAACAGACACAACTTTCCCATTTTTCCTGCTTTTCTTGCCAAAAGAAGTCCTTAATTTGTTGGAGGCATTTATCGCCCTTTGCTTAAAGGAAAGCTTATACTTCTTCTCCTCAGAGTATTCATTGTCGGTTTTTCCTAAACCTGTTGAAAAATCGTAACTTCATTTCCAAAATTTTCAGGGATATGCCATTGAGAATTCAAAGATTCTATGAAGAAACGGGTATCACAATTTCTATCTTATATTCGTATAGCACTTGTTCCTATGTTTGTTCTACGTTTCTAACTCAATGGATATATCTTTGACAAAAAGTCAAACATGGATCCTACAAAGAAGATATGAATAGAGAAGTGAAGAGTATTGGAACAAAAATATACCGACAATAGGTCCAGACATTCTGGAACTCATGATTGCTGCCGTTTTGAATTTGAGGCCCTTGTCAAATGCCTACACATGATACCAAATACACATCAGTTTAAATCTAAAGAAGAATCCATATGCTAATATATATACTCCATAATATTAGGATCATCAGAAACTAGAAATTCGAGTTAAGATGATAACCAATACTAAAATTTCTCTTTAACTAAACATTAAAAAAACAATACAAATTCATCACTCGGGGTTTTAAACTGTAATAGCAACTACAAAACGTATATAAACAAACCAAAAAACCATAGGAAAAACCAAAACTAAGGAGTTAAGGAAAGTAGAGCTTAGAAAAACAAGTGATGATTTGAGCTAGAAGTGAAAGAGAAGTAACAAGCTCATAGAAATGGAACTTACAGAAATTATGGCAGGACAATCGATGAAGGAGAAATGGAGGTTGTTTTAATATCTCATCATTCAAAAAAGCAAATCATTAAAAAATTAATCACCGTCCAATCGATCATGTAGAGAGAGAAAGAATCTTGTGGGGAGGAATATATTTGATTTTGGGAAGTCTTCTTCAGTCGACATGATCATATCTGTAATTCAAGACATGGCAGCCACTATGAATGTGATGTAGACATCTCTGTCATGACTCATTTATATTTTTATGTGTATGCGTGTCCATGTATTTTTGTATTTATGTGGATGTATGTTTTCTTAGCGGAGAGAGTGCTTCCCCACATAGCCCTTTTTTACACGGTAACTAACTCAACTACTTTAGCGATCAAATATATATTATATGGAATTAGGAACTTAAAGAACCAACTTTTTGAATTTTATTATTAAAGGTATCTTTGTCCTAACTTTTAGAAATTAAAACTCGTTCATATTATACATTCACACTAACTATACAATCCCAGCCACAGCTACCATACACGCTGCCGTAAACAACCGTTGCCAACGCCACCACCGCCAACAGTAGCTGCCGCCAACACCACTGACTACCAACAACCGTTGGCGAGGATGTTCGAACAGTCCTATGACAATGTGACAACCGAGACAAAAGCATCACTGACCACCGCTAGGAATTAACGTATAGATTATAATAAAGAAATATATTCAATTACCAAATAATATCATTACGACAGATAGACACAAAAGTAATGTGTGAAAAACAGAGTCTTATAACAAATAACAATAAGATTAACGTATTTAAAGAATACATAACAACACGATTCCAAAAATATAAACTTCGTAGAAATCTGACTTGGTATAGAAGAGATATGGTGTTTATAGTAAATAAATACATATCGCACACAAGAAGTTATAGCTTCAAAAACTACGAGAAAAACGGTTAACTTATAACAAAAGTCGTCACCAGAAGAATCGTAATACCTATCAAAACATGAATTTTGAGACAAATAACACCTAAAAATGGAGTCCGTACGAGAGATATGATTTTTAACAGTTATAAAATATAGGCTAAAAACAAAAGTTAAAATTTGCCAAAACGTACAAAAAGAAAGTTGTAGTATTCGTCGAGATCTACAAAATGATACAAGAACCATTGAAAACATAAATCATATGTAAAAGAATTTTCAAAGAAAAAATCACCTATGCACGAAACACTATGCATCACACACTACGTGCAATCTAACATCTAGATCTGTCAGGATACGAGTGGCGTGGCACCATATAAGGAGAACATGTGGTAGCTTCCTGATGGAACCACGCACATATCATTCGCAGCATGACACATGTCGCGTTCTAAAAACATCCTATAAATAGAATACTTTGGCAGTCCATTCATCACACCTCCATACTCACTACCCTCACACACACACACGCACTCTCTCTCTCTCTCTCTCTCTCTATATATATATATATATATATATATATATATATATATGTGTGTGTGTGTGTGTGTGTGTGTGTGTGTGTGTGTGTGTGTGTGTGTGCCTATGCTTCCCGTGTAGTGAATGAACTCCGGATCCTGACTGCAAAAACCCAGGATAAATTTTCCCTTTTTTTAACATAATATAACATCCATTTTTAATAAATTTACATTCTGGATAAATCATTTGTTCATAACCATCATTTAGAAATCAGAGTTATAATGAAGAAAGTGTGGAATCTCGAATCATAAAGTTGTTGATGTGTGTGTAGAGTCACGCCTTCGCAATCCCATAAGTACGTGCAAAATATTTAATCCACAGCTGTAAGCACAAATCTTAGTGAATTCCTCAAAATACCACATAGAGCAAAGCATAATAATCAGCTAAGGTTATCAACAAACTCTAGAGACTATCAACAGTCCACAATAAGCTAATAGCATGCCATATGGATTAACAACACACCTCTCAAGGTATCAGCAACCCTGGGGACTATCAGCAGTCTAGGAGTTATCGGCAACTCATTTCACATGTTACAGAAATCAACAAATAAGACCCATCTGGTCAACATGCATATACTACGACATAGGAGAGTCTAGTGAGAAGACTCACCTTGCAGTTTAGAAGACAACAGTGATGATCAAAAATCCAATAACCGACTCTACATGTCATATATGCAACAAACATGGGACCAAGTCTCAATCTATAGTTGAAAATACTCATTTTTACCTAAAGTCAAACTTGGTCAAAGTCAACGGTCAACGATCAAAAAGTTAACGGTCAATACCCAATTGACTTATGCCTTGCGTAATCAATCTACGTCATGCATAGTGGTACGCAATGCATATTTAGAGTACGCCCTGCGTACCACGCTATTAAGACATTTCCATTTTTAGATCTTAATCCATAAAGACCAAACATATATTGCTTGGATCTGGTCCTAATAAACGTCTAAAGTAATAAAGTTCCTAACTTTATGCCTTTGCATGGCTATATAAAGCTCAAATCCAAACTCTAGCTTTCTAACACGTCTAGAGTGATAAAGTTCCTAACTTTATGCCTTTTCATGGCTAAATAAAGCTCAAATCCAAACTCTAGCTTCCTAACATTTTCTAATGTCTAAAAACTCTTGCATGAATGAATAAAGACACCCAATATCCCATTTTTATGACTTCTCAATCTCATAAACCACATGGAATGACAACCACAAGGTGTGGAGTAGCTTATACTCACAAGACTCAAGATTATGGGACCAAAGGCCAAGAAAAACAAGAAGCTAAATAGATCTAATGTTATAACAGTAAATTTAGATCGAAAGATTCTTTAACGGAAAAGTAAATCAAAATAGAAGAACAATTGATCAAAAAGGTATCGAATGATTATATTATCAAAGCCTTAGAAGAGTTTTGTATGAACTTCTCTGTAAAGGCAATGTAGGGAAATACAATCGATTAACCCTAAAAGCATTGCATGCATGCACTATTAATAGCCTAACCCTAGTTGCATAAATGCGGATGGACGGGCCTAATCCAATAACAATAAAGGCTAAATACATACATATGAAATTTGACACAACACAATAAATAACCCAACAATCTCCTCCTTTGTGTCAAATTAGGAAGGAAATTCTTCATTGTTGTTGGCGCTTCTGAACTTTGAAAAGTTTCAGCATCAGACCAAGTAAAGTGTTGCGAACTTGAATGTACCATTTGACAATATCTGTAAAGCACTTCTTATCAATAGCAGCATTCACTTTGCATTGTCCAATAATCCCCACGATGTAGTTCAGACAAGATGTAGAATAGAGATGCTTGTCGGGTAAGGAAAATAAGCACTTCTGAACATTCGTACCATCTCTAGCACTTTGCTGAAACGTCACACTCCAATTATCCTTTTGGATTCTTCCGAGTTTCATCTTGGTGACATTGTTCGGAGCTTCTTTTGGTTTCACAGAGGGTTTCTTTCGCAAAGCAGCCGCTCTCTCCACATCCATTTTCCCGATTTCTTGAATGTAGGAGACCAACATACTTTTCAGATGTGTCACAATAGGTTCGAATTTCTATTCATCTTTAGACAAAAGATTGAACAAGGAAATCCAGTCGTAAGGATTAAGGCACAGCAGATCAGCAAGAGTGAATTCAAAGATTGACTTGCTTGCCCTCATGATGCTTTGTATCAAGCATGAAGAAAGCTTTTTATTTCTATCGGACCAAAGACCTTCCTAGCAGTAATCTTCTTCGAACTCCAAGTTTGATATTAGGGCTTTCCATCTTGAGAAAAAAAGGAGATAAGCATGAGATTGGCATCATTATCTAATTCAGGAGCTTATTCAACCTTATCAAAACATCGGAATAAAAAGGCCTTCGAGTTATTGGAATGTCGAGATAAGACTCCAAAGTGTTTTCCAATTAAAACGAAGCAACTGGTTCTAACCAGTAAATATTCAGAGTGTAAGCAGCTTCATTCAAAATATACTCCATCGATGAAGGAGGGAAGAGGACCTATTGAGTTTTGAGTGTGACTTGAGCATTACGAGCCTCCTTTTCCTAAGCTTCGGCTTGTTTAGCAACTCGCAGATTCTCATCAAGCTCTTGGTCATGTTTCTTTCTTTTAAGCTTAGCCCCTTCTGATAAATATTCTTCTTCTTAATCCTCACATCAACCAACTAGCCTTTTACTTTTGATCCCGAAGCTTCATTACCCTTTGGATCTTATGACATCGGTTGTGGCTTATGATCGTATTCACCATAATCATCAACTGGTTTCTTGGGTTCTTCAGCAGATGACTTCTTAGCTTCTCCCCTAGTTTTGTAAGAGACCCAGATTCTAAAATACCCTTGATACGATTGAGCATAGAGAATACTAGTTTAAGTTTGTCAGCGAGGTATTGGTGAACCGATACCGTTAGCAACGAATCACGAGTCTCCACTAGATTTTGCAAAAAAGGTGTTAATATCCACAACATAGGTTTTGATAACAGTGATTTCGGGTTTTAAAGTATTAAGTTGTTGGTTAGCATGAGCAAGTTGGACGGAAAGAACCTTCGTTTTTTCAGTCTTCGCAACAAGTTTATCCATGATCTTATTCTCGATTACCAAATCTACTTGTATCTTTTCAATCTTAGAAACAACGGAGGCACTCATCT